CCCTCCTTTCCTCTTCTCCTTCCTCTCCTTCTCCCTCCTCTTCCTTCCCTCTCCCTCTCCCTTCTTCTCCTTCCTTTCCGCTCTCCCTCCCTCCTTCCCTCTCCTCTCCTCTCCTTCCCTCTCCCTTCCCTCTTCTTCTCCCTTACCTCTCCTCTCTCTCCTCCTCTCCCTCCTCTTCTCTTCTCTCTTCTCCCCTCTCCCTCCCTCTTCCTCCTCTTCCTTCCCTCTCCTCCCTCTCCTCCTGTCTCCCCCTTTCCTCTTTCTCCCTCCCTTTCCCTCTCCTCCCTTCCTCTCTCCTCCCCTTCTCTTCTCCTCTCTCCCTCCCCTTCCCTCCCTCTTCCTCTCTCCTCTCTTCCCTCCTCCCTTCCTTCCTCCCTCTTCCCTTCTCCCTCTCCTCTCTTCCTCCCTCTCCTCCTCTCCCTTCCCTCTCCTTCTTCTCCCTCTCCCTCCTCCTCCCTCTCCCTCTCCCTCTAGTTTTTCTCTCTTCCCTCTTCCTCTTCCTCTCCCCTTTCCCTTTCCCCTTCCTTCTCTCCTTCCTCCTCTTCCTCTCCTTCCTTTCCCTCTTCCATCTCCTTCCTCTTCCCTCTCCTTCCCTCTTCCCTCTCTTCCTTCCCTTCCCTCTTCCCTCTCCTTCCCTCTCCTCTCTTCCTTCCTCTTCCCTTCCCTCTCCTCCCTCTTCCCTTCTTCCTCTCCTTCCCTCTCTTCCTCTCCTCTCCCTCTCCCTCCCCCCTCTCCCTCTTCCCTCCTCTCCCTCTCCTCCCTCTCCCTCTCCCCCCTCCCTCCCTCTCCCTCCCCTCTCCCTTCCCCCCTTCCATTTCATATTGCAAGTAATCAATGTGTCAGATTTATCTTGTGCATTCTCTTGTTGAGTAACTTCTGTGTGTGTAATTTTGAATTTATTTTTGGGGATATATTACATAATCCATGGATGAGCTGCACAATAGGATTCAAAAGTTTCATAATTTGCATACTTCTCAAATATTGTTATCATGTTTTTGCTGGGAGTTTATTGTTTAGGTTGTGTTAAATTTATAGTGCAGTTAAACTAAAAGTGTTTCTTGGTTCCAGCGTGTGAATGAAAAGCCACAGGTGATCCAGGAATACGAGCAAGGCAAGGCAGTGCCCAACCAAAACATCATAAGCAAGATTGAGAAGGCTATTGGTAAGCAGTGCTGCACATATGTTACCCCTTTTTTTTTTTTTTTACAAAAGAGAGCTTTACAGTGTTGAAATAAATTTTTGGAAATGTTTTAATAATGAGCAAACACGTATACCACAACATTATAACAACCAGTAATAGTGATACATTATGGTATTTTTTCTTCATTGTATATGTATTTATGTATATGTATGTGTATGTATGTATGTATGTATGTATGTATATATGTATATGTATATATGTATGTATGTACTGTATATATATATATGTATATGTATATATATAATATATATATATATATATATAATATAATATTTATATATATATGTATATTATAATATTATGTAATGTATGTATATGCATTTATATATGTATGTATGTGTATAAATGTATGTATATGTATGTATTTATGTATGTATATACATGTGTATGTATAACATGTATGTATTTATGTATATGTATATACATGTATGTATTTATGTACATGTATGTATTTATGTATATGTATATACATGTATGTATTTATGTATATGTATATACATGTATGTATTTATGTATATGTATATACATGTATGTATTTATATATATGTATATACATGTATGTATTTATGTATATGTATATACATGTATGTATTTATGTATATACATGTATGTATTTATGTATATGTATACATGTATATTTATGTATATGTACATGTATGTATTATGTATATGTATAGTATGTATTTATGTACATTATGTATTTATGTATATGTTTATACATGTATGTATTTATGTACATGTATATACATGTATGTATTTATGTACATGTATATACATGTATGTATTTATGTATATGTATATACATGTATGTATTTATGTATATGTATATACATGTATGTATGTATATGTATATATATGTATGTGTATATATGTATATGTGTGTATATATGTATATGTATGTATATGTATAATTATATGTATAATTATATGTATATATATATATTATATTATTATTTATATAATTATATATATGCATTACATACATTACATTAACATAATTTATATATAAATATTTATGTATTTACATATATGTATATATGTATATATTACATTTATGTATATATATATATGTATATATGTATATATGTATTATATATATATATATTATATATTACATATATGTATAGTATATTACATATATGTATATGTATATATTACATATATTATGTATATATACATATATGTATATATGTATATATTACATATATGTATATATGTATATATTACAATATTATATTATGTATATATTACATATATGTATATATATTACATATATGTATATGTATATATTACATATATGTATATATGTATATATTACATATATGTATATATGTATATATTACATATGTATATGTGTATATATTACATATATGTATATGTGTATATATTACATATATGTAATAGTGTATATATTACATATATGTATATAGTATATATTACATATATGTATATATGTAATATATATTACATATATGTATATATGTATATATTACATATATGTATATATATATATATTACATATATGTATATGTATATATTACATATATGTATATATGTATATATTACATATATGTATATATGTGTATATTACATATATGTATATATGTATATATGTATATATTATATATATGTATATATGTATATATTACATATATGTATATATGTATATATTACATATATGTATATATGTATATATGTATATTATAATATGTATATTGTATATATTACATATATGTATATATGTACATATATGTATATATGTATATATTCATATATGTTATAATATGTATATATTACATATATGTATATTATGTATATATTAACATATATATATGTATATATTACATATATGTATATATGTATATATTACATATATTATATAATGTATATATTACATGTATGTATATATGTATATTACATGTATATACTATATGTATATATTACATATATGTATATATGTATATATGTATATATTACATATATGTAATAGTATATATATACATATATGTATATAGTATATTACATTGTATATATTATATTATATATAGTATATGCTATATAGTATGTATCATATATATATATGTATAATACATATATGTATATATGTATATATTACATATATGTATATATGTATATATTACATATATGTATATATGTATATATTACATATATGTATATATGTATATATTATATATATGTATATATGTATATATTACATATATGTATATATGTATATATTACATATATGTATATATGTATATATACATATATGTATATATATATATTATATGTATATATGTTATATTATATATATACATGTATATATTAATATATGTATACATGTATATATTACATATATGTATGTATATATTACATATATGTATACATGTATATATACTATATGTATATATGTATATATCAATATGGTATTACATATTATTACATATATGTATACATGTATATATTACATATATGTATACATATATTACATATATGTATACATGTATATATTACATATATGTATACATGTATATATTACATATATGTATACATGTATATATTACATATATGTATACATGTATATATTACATATACATATATATTACATATATGTAACATGTATATATTACATATATGTATATGTATATATTACATATGTATACATGTATATACAGATATATATATACAGTATGTATACATGTATATATGTATACATGTATATTACAGATATGTATACATGTATATATTACAGATATGTATTATATGTATATTATACATATATGTATATATGTATATATTACATATATGTATATATGTATATATTACATATATGTATATATGTATATATTACATATATGTATATATTACATATTAATATATGTATGTGTATATTGTATATATTACATAGATGTATTATATGTATATATTACATATATATATATATATGTATATATAACATATATATATATATATATATATATATATATTATATATTACAAATATGTATATGTATATATTACATATATATATGTATATATATTACATATGTATATATGTATATATTATATACATATATGTATATATGTTATATATTACATATATGTATATTATAGTATATATATATTACATATGTGTATATATTACATTATGTATATGTATATATTACATATATGTATATATGTATATATTACATATATGTATATATTACATATATGTATATATTATATATATGTATATATTACATATATGTATATATGTATATATGTGTATATATTACATATGTGTATATATGTACATATATGTATATATATGTATATATATATTACATATATGTATATGTGTAGTATATATGTAATATTATATATGTATATATGTAATATTACCATATATGTATATATGTATAATATTATAATATGTATATATGTATATATATTTACATTTATATTGTATAATATGTATTAATAAATACTTTTTATTATATATATGTATATATGTATATATTACAATATGTATATTGTATATATTACATATATGTATATATTACATATGTATATATGTATATATTACATATATGTATATATGTATATATTACATATATGTATATATGTATATATTACATATATGTATATATGTATATATTACATATATGTATACATGTATATATTACATATATGTATACATGTATATATTACATATATGTATACATGTATATATTACATATATGTATACATGTATATATACATATATGTATACATGTATATATTACATATATGTATACATGTATATATTACAATATGTATGTACATATATGTATACATTATATATTACATATATATAATGTATATATTACATGTATTATATTACATATATGTATGTATATACATATATGTATACATGTATATACATATATGTATACATTATATATATATTACATATATGTTATACATGATATACATGTATATGTATATATACATATATGTATACATGTATATTTACATATATGTATACATGCTATATATACATATATGTATACATGTATATATTACATATATGTATACATGTATATATTACATATATGTATACATGTATATATTACATATATGTATACATGTATATATTACATATATGTATACATGTATATATATATACATATATGTATACATGTATATATTACATTATATGTATACATGTAATATTACATATATGTATACATGTATATATTTACATATATGTTATACATGTATATATTACATATAATGTATACATGTATATATTACATATATGTATATATATATTATGTATGTATACATGTATATATTACAGATATGTATATATGTATATATTACAGATATGTATATATGTATATATTACAGATATGTATATTATATATTACATATATGTATATTGTATATATTACATATTGTATTATGTATATTTACATATATATATATGTATATATTACATATATGTATATATTACATATATGTATATATGTATATATTACATATTTGTATATATGTATATATTTACATATATGTATAAATTACATATATGTATATACTATAATATTACATATATGTATATATGTATATATTACATAGATGTATATATGTATATATTAATATATAATATATATAATATATATATTATATGTTATATGTATATATTACATATGTATATATGTATATATTATATATTACATATATGTATATATGTATATATGTATATATTATTACATATATGTATATATGTATATATTACATTATGTGTAATATGTATATATTACATATATGTATATGTATATATTACATATATGTATATATGTATATATTACATATATGTATATATGTATATATTACATATATGTATATATGTATATATGTATATATTACATATATGTATATATTACATATATTAATATATTATATATGTATATGTATACATATATATATGTATATATGTATATATATATGTATATATATATGTATATATATATTTATATGTATACATATGTATGTATATATTGTATTATCATATATATATGTATATATATTACATATATGTATATATATATATTACATATATGTATAATATTACATTATATGTTATATATGTATATATGTATATATTACATATATATGTATATATTACATAGATGTATTATATATTACATATATATATTATATATATATATATATATATATGTATATATGTATATATTACATATGTATATATGTATATATTTATATATTACATATATGTATATATGTATATATGTATATATTACATATATGTATATATGTATATATTACATATATGTATATATGTATATATTACATATGTGTATATATGTATATATTACATATATGTATATATGTATATATTACATATATTATATGTATATTATATATGTATATATATTATATACATATATGTATATATGTATATATGTATATATACATATATATGTATATATTATATATATATATATATATATATATATATGTATATATTACATATATGTATATATGTATATATTACATATATGTGTATATATGTTATATATACATATATGTATATGTGTATATATTACATATATGTATATGTGTATATATTACATATATGTATATGTGTATATATTACATATATGTTATATGTATATATTACATATATGTATATGTATATATTACATATATATATATGTATATACATATATGTATATATGTATATATTACATATATATATATGTATATATACATATGTATATATGTATATTACATATATGTATATATGTATATATTACATATATGTATATATGTATATATTACATATATGTATATATGTATGTATATATGTATATATTACACATATATATATATGTAATATAGTATATATGTATATTTATTATATATGTATATGTATATATGTACATATTATGTATATATGTATATATTACACATATGTATATATGCATATATTACACTTATGTATATATGTATATATTACATATATGTATGTATGTATATATTACATATATGTATATGCATATATATATATATTACATATATGCATATATGTATATATGTATATATTACATATATGTATATATGTATATATGTATATATATGTATGTGTATATATGTATATATATATGTATGTATGTGTATATATGTCTTTATGTGTATATATGTCTTTATGTATTATACATTAATATATGTGTGTGTATATATATATATATATATATATATATATATATATATATATATATATATATATATATATATATACATGTATGTATGTGTGTATATACCAGATTGGAAACTTTGCAAAGTGTGTGGCTTAGTTGTTTGGAAGCAGAAATGGCACAGCTACGCATACAGATTGATACAAAAATATGCAGTTGAGTAAGAGTTTTGTGTGTCCAATCAGCCAGTCATTGGCTTCAACTCAAGGAATTCATAGTTCGCGGTTGTGCATTTAAGGGGACTCTCTGGTAATTTTTTCGATTTTTTTATTTTTCTTGCTGATTTTGATGAAACTCGCACCCTAGTGAGATCTCAAAACTATTTTTTTTTTTTAATCCCCCGAACAGTTTTTGAATTATTGTTTAAAAAACGTCCCCCCATGAAAATTGGCAATTTTTCGTCAATGATTCCTTATCCAGGAAAAAATACACAGGCTTTCTGATGTGATTTTTGAACAGATTCACCCTAAATCTTGTACTTGTTGCAAGCACTTTTTTCAGTTTCGACTTTTTTTTTTTGTAAATTTTTGAAATGACCGACTTTATAAAATTATTATTATTATTTTTTTTTTTTCCATAAATGTCATCTTTACAAGAAAAACAGAAAAAAAAATGCAAAAACTAAATGCAACAGGCACTAGATTATTTATTCAGCTACAAAATGAGCCATAAAACATTTTTTTCGGACTAAAATTGTCTAAAATCGTTGACGAAGACTACAAAGGTAGTGTTCCAAGATATTTGCATTTTTGGGTTTTCGTACATTTTCATAGCTGTTTTGGTATTAACAAAATTAGGTATTAGAATAATCATCCTATAACATAATCCCCTATGATTTACCTTCATTGCGAAGTATTGTGGAAATTCCTAGCAAGTAATAGTATCTCACTACACGTCATTTGTTGTAGTAGGGTCACAGTGATTTGTGGTGTCTATAGGCCTACATTGACCATTTTTAAAATTTTCTAAAAAATCGCCCAAAAATCATACAGCCATTCTGATTTCATATCTGAATAGCACAATCCTTCAACTATAATATACGGTAGCCAAATTTTAGAAGTCGACCTTATTTTTTTTCTTGTGAATGAATTACAAAGATGACTGTTTGAACAGTCCAAGTAGGCCTATTTTTTATATAAGTCACTTTTATAAGAAGCAATTGAAAATATTGCAAAAAGTAAGTGCAACAAGCACAAGATTGTTTATTTAGCTACAAAATGAGCTATAAAAGGTTTTTTTTTTACCAAAATTGCGTATGCCATTATTACAGCGATATATCGTATATAAGATATAAAGGTATAATATCAAAATGTCGTCATATGTTCATTTTTTTTTTTTTTTACAGTATGGATAACAAATGATATGTGAAATACTTCCATATGATATAATCATGTATCATTTCCCTTTATAATGAGCTATAATGGGGATTTACAATATATAAAACTGGCCTGAAGCCTCCTCCATGGCAGTATATATACAATGACAGATCCATGTTGATAAATACGTCCATATTTATCTTTCTAATACATTCTATATAGTTGTATTTGTGCATTAGTTGTATCTGTATGTAAAATCACAAGATAAATATCGATATATATATCAATTATACTTTTTATACTTTTTATACTATACTATATCAACTTTATACTTTTATACAAAAAATAACTTCATACTTTAACAAAAGAGTTTAAAAATTATCATTTTACTATTCCTAACTGATAGAAGATATTGAACTGTAGGCCTATAAGGGGATCATTAGACACGCCTCATTATAGGGCGGTGGAGCACTACAGCTATGTTTCTATAGCCAAAAGTAAACATGCCATCATCAAAACTCTTTTGGTAACATTTGTGAAAAGAACATTATCCCTACAACCAAAATAACAACCTATATCTAAATAAGTCATCTCGGGGGTGGGGGTTGGGGTAGGGGGGAAGGAATACAGCTGATGTCTTGAGCTCTCGACTAGAACATCAAAGTTCTTGAAAAAACTACGTATATAGGTTATTTCATAATAAATTATGATTTTAAGATATTTTAGAATTACTATGTGATTCCTACATCATATCATACATAAATATGTTACTAATTTATAATTTGAATGCAAGAAAATGGTATTTAAACACGGGAAAGGGAGGGCTCTCGCGACTTTGCTTCGCCAGGTTATTCCAATACGATCGTTCGCCAGCCCTGGCGAAAGTTTGCCTGGCAAACTTTTAATGGTATGAAGTTCCCGATCGCCTGGCGAAACCTTTCGCCAGAACTAGCAAAAGGTTTTAAAAGTACGGGCCAGAAAGTTAACCTTGTTATAGCATAAAGTGTAGTATAGCATAAAATATAAAGTTAAATTTGATATAGTATAAAGTTATTTTCAACTTCTTTGTTATAGCATAAAGTTAGATTTTAACTCCTTTGTTATAGTATGAAGTGAGACTATTGCGGACACAACATTTTCGTCTTCTCTCGAGGTTAATAATTAGGTTTAGCTCATGTTATATGCACTGCAGATGTAAACAAATTTGCGCTAGATTTAGCAGGAATGCAAGATGTTAGGGCCTGGCGATCCCTTCACCCGCCCTGGCAAACGTTAGGTTTAAAAGTAAGGTCTCCCTCACTCAGATGTTTGCCTGGCGTAGCTTCGCCAGGCAAACGCCAGCACTGGTGAAAGGTTCTAAAAGTACGGGCCTTAATGTTAGTGTTAGTGTTAGTGTTATGTATATGTATTTATATGTGTGTCTGTTATGTATACGTATTTATATGTGTGTGTCTGTTATGTATATATGTAATTATTGTGTGTTGTTATGTATATATTGTGTGTGTATTATGTAATGTATATATGTAATATGTACATATGTATATATATACATATATATTATATATTAGTTATGGAAGACAAATCTTATTCTTGTTTAGCTAATCCTGATATTCCTTGACAGGGATGCGCCTGCGAGGAAAGGACAAAGGACAACCCCTACCAGCTCCAGGGAGCAAGAAGAAATAAGCAGAAGCCAAGTCCCTCTGCCTTTTGCTCTTTCACCCACAATGTGTGTACCATGCTACAGGCAGTACCCAGAAAGTTCCCCTTCAGTTTACTACTCGGCAATTAGGGCTATTTGGAATATTGTTTTTAGTGTTTCATATGTCAAGTGCTTTTGTTCTCACACCTAGCTTGGAGGGCATTTTTTCTTTTTCTCTTGAGGGAAAAACAAATTTTCTGGCAGAGTTTGGATAAATAGATATATCACTAAATAAAAAATAAAAAAAAATGTTATGTATTGATAGAACTGGATGAACAGGAAATGTTATTTAGTAAAAGCTTAATTGTGTACCTCCACTATCCACAAAATGTGTAAGGGTATGGTTAGCTGACCATAGCATGTATTTAGTTTTTTTTTTCATTTTTGAACAGATTGATTTTTGTTCTTTTGAACTCTTTTTCATTCATTCATGCAGTTATATGCATTTGTATTTCCAAGTTTATTGTAATAACTGGACAGCATTCGTTTCTCTGCTGAACTAAGACTGGTAATGACTAATCGAAGAGGAATTCACTTGATTTGTTATTCAGCTGTTCTGTTTTCTCACTACGTACTTCAGAGTATGTTCAATCTTTTATAGAATTTCTATGGTGTATGCTAAATAAATACTATAAAGGAGTTTCCATAGATAATCATTTCCTCTTTCCAGATGTTTTGATGTTTCCTGTTTCCCATATGTGACCCTTTCTCTGTCCTAAAGTGATTGTATTTTTACAAAAGTTTAGTATCAATATAACTGCAATATATATATGCAACAATAAAGGGGAATACACTGAGAACTTAGGAATAATATGGTAATAAAAGAAATCTCTGTATCAGTAAATGTATTTTTTTTCTATACAGACATCATTAACAAGTAAAAATGCAGTTGATGTTCCTGATTAACAATATGAAATCTTGAATTTTGTAAGGAGTTCTATTAACCTTGAATGGAAAGTTGTTTCAAAAGAATTAAGACTTAAAAGATATTCCAATGCCATAGAGATTGAGTGGATATACAAAGAACTGCCAAGCATTCAAATTGGAGTGTGATATAAAGGTTGTTTTGACTAAGGATGTTATCAACTTTGTGTTCCACTTCATATTGGTTAAAAAAAAGCAGATCATGCTTGCTTGATACCATATAGTTTCAGTGTACTAACATACAATAAAGTTTCACCCTGAAAGCAAGTGAGAATTTTGGCTTTTTGTTAAAGAAATCCTTTGCTATACAAAAAGAAAATGTTAAAAACTTTAGTGCCATGCCTTGAAATGAAAAAGTGAGTTTCTACTTCCATTCTTGCTTTTCTCTTATTGTGTAAATGCAAGTACAGCTAATTCGTGGGTGTTTGCATAAACATAATTTTGACGATCTCTCAGATTTTTTAATGTGTGAGTGTCATTTTCCATCACATTTCCAGGTCTTGTGTATACTATCACTTTGACACTGGGCATTATGACAAGTATATGTAGGATTGTCATTTTATTCTGATGAGCTTGTATGAGATATAAAATTTGAGAATACTTCCGTCTTGGAGTGGTTCAGTTAAGCATATTACTTTTCTTATAATAGTTAGAGCTAGTTATTTTTGATGATCATATTTGATCCTGTGAGAGTGAGTGTAATGCAGTGTGAATCAGTAACATTAAACTATCTCTAATGTCTTTTCCTTTTTTCCTCTCATCTTCCTCTGTCTCATTTGTTTTATATTTACTGTAAAAGAGCATGTCATAGTCTCTATATATCATAAAAAGACAAGGCCTATAATCCTCTATTTATCTGTAACAGGGCAAGGCTTTTTGAATAAAAGAAAAGACTAGGGTTCTTGTGAAATGGAGTAAGACCAGTTTCATTACTTGAGGTGAAGGAACACAGTCTTGTTTATAGAAATTTTAAAAACTATCATGATTAGTTACTAGTACCCATAACTTATGCAGATAATTTTGGATGCTCATATAGTCTGATAAATCAACATTTTCTAATATTAATTTAGATTTAGATAAGACAAAAAAAGAATAAGATTCCATCACTCATAA